AAAATTAAAGTAGACTATAAAACCCTCATGAGAAATGGGGGAAATCCAAGGAATTTCTTATTATAATATTCATCATGACCAAAACAAGATGACCAAAGAAAAAAAAAGTTTATAATGAGAACTTCACTATGCTTACAGTACTGAAAAAATCATGAACCAACAAGTCAAAAATGGAAAATAAATTGTTATAAAGAGAATCTCAGTATAATATAAAACCCAGAATCATGTTGAAAACATGTATGTTACAATACAGCATATGTTTATGCATATTATCAAACTTCTGAAAGCTTGAAAGTATTCATACATTAAATAGCGTTTCGTTTGCAGTGAGTGTTTATATCTATTCTAAAACTACTGTATTTAACACACAACAAAATACTTCTGAATTTACAGTGATCTGCACAGTGCTACATTTGATCTTTTTAAAATGTTGCAAGTTTGAAAATGTTTCTTGGATATAAATGCAAGTTAGATATGTCACATTTTATTCTTCACAAAATTCGAACGTCTATTTTCGATTTCCATTCTTTTATCATGTTCATCACAGGTATTAAAATTGTAAAGGAGAACTACTGTATATGGTACGAAAGCGAAAGTGACGGTCCTGTCAACATATCCTCTAGTAAAATTATGCTGATCATTTCTTTTTTAACTCCAACTTAACTTCGTCATTGGACATACTCTAATTGATTTTTCCTATTAGCTATGGTTGACTTGGATAAACTATCGTGTATAAGGACAAAATTATTCTCAACTTTTGTAAAATTTGACATTTCTGCATCCATGTTGGCATTTTATACACTTCCAAAACGGTTGATAACAAACGTAAATTGATTGGATGATAATAATGGCTTTCAATGAAGCAGCCAATCAGAATTATTTATTTGCATATTATTTTATTTTATTAGTGCAATTGCATTGACTATCGGTGGGAAATTTAAAAATAAAATCAACAACAGGGACTTTTATTTTTATTTGGTTTTAGCTGAAATTACAGTCGGCCCTCCCGAAAATCATTTCATTAAAAAATGTTGGCCTTAAGGCATATTTCGATGTTCATGGCTCTTGCACTTTGATAAATATATCTTGAAAAGTTTCTTTGAAACTAAGCTAAATTCAAAGTGTGATGAAGGACATGGAATGACAGAAAACGTACATAACAAACACTATATGCTCTGGCCATATTCATGGGGGTGCATAAAACTGTAGTTAATACAACATCTGATTTTTATAAGCCATCTTTTGTGTTAATCTAGCAGGACACCATTTTGGTGTGTTACTAATAATTTTTGCAGTCATTCAGTATTCAAATATTGAAAATACTGTATGCATTTGATTATGAACATTTCATAAATTTAAGGTTCAATATTCTCTGAGAAGAAAGACAACTATAAATGGGATAGATGTCTACTTTTCCTTTATATATTTGTCAAGTTGAAATGTCTTTTTGTCCAATTTTGCCCCAAGAGCTATGCTAAAACAGTTTGTATTTTACTTAAAATATACAATTTTTGGAAAATAATAAATGTTAAAGCAACATTTTATATACGTGAACAGAGGAATAATGAACCTTAACAAAAAGTCGAATTTGTTAAGGACATTCTTAATTTAAGATTATAGTGCCATCAGATGTTCGTCGACAAAAAATCAGAATGCATTACCAGGGGTTTTAAAAAGATATCAATTGATGAAAATTCTTGTATAATTCAAAGAAAAATACACAAAAATTACTAAACACATACTCTAGATGGTTTGTTTATCCAAACTTGTTTTAGAAGAAGTGTAGCATATACAGACATACAAATGTCATGATTTTTCCATTCCTTGTAATATTTGATGTTTATACATTTCCTGTACTGCAGGCACTAATTATAATAAATTTCTCAACTGGTTGTGTTAGACCTTGACAAATGCCCATCTGCAGCCCCCCCCCCCCCCCCCCCCATCTTTCATATTTATTTGATATTTTCAAAAAATTATTCAAAAATTTCATATTAAACAATATCAAAATGGTCTTAACAATTTAAACTAACAAGCAGTTTTTCTGTCTAATTCCCAAAGGATACAGATAAGAGCTGCTTGATCAGAGATGCTCTAACAGAAATGATTGAGACAGCTAGCCTTCCTATACATTGAACTTATTAATTATAATCTTTAACTGGATGCATGTCCATTCATTACTCCCAAGGGATGAATGGATCTGCACTATCAGCTTTAATAGTCTGTATTGTAATAAAAATGCATATTTAGGCCACATAAATTTAAAATTTAGATTCTCATCCTAATTTGTTAAAAAATTGGGGAGGGTGGGTGGATTTTATTTTTTTATTTTTTTTTATAATTGAAAGTATCAACAAAACATTTGTATTCATAAGTTTTACATTATGTTAATTAATGCCAATATGAATAGATTTTATTGTTTTCATATTCTTTTAAATATCTACAGAAGATTCTTGTTATAGAAAATTAAAATATTTACCGGTATAGTTTTATTGACAAATTATCAAGTATACAGATACGGCACATGCCAAACAAAATGAGATGCTGATTGTAATAAATTGCATATGCATGTTTTCTCATCGTCCTTTCCCCAAATACCTTATAGTTTTCCAACAACTCCTTCTGCTCTGTGTGATATATCACAGATTTCCACTGTCCTCATACATTCAATCGTTCTAGCGACTTGACATGTTCGACATTAAAATATATATCATATTTGCAAAACAGGATTGTGTAAATCTGTAAAATATTCTACTGAAAAGCCTAGGCCTGAATAGTTTTAAAATTTAACATTTCCTTAGCACTATTATTCTCTAAAGTCTTTGGACGATGTTTTATTTTTTTTTAATGCAAATTCACATACAACTGGAGATCGTTATTTAAAACTTGACCATGTGTCATTTTCTTCGCCTGTTTTTACTTGGTTAAAATCTCTTTAAAAACTTGCTCATGCCAGTGATGGTATCTAGATATATTTATGTTATTTTTGCTTTTCTGCCTTCTCTATACTGACAAATTATCTTTTCCTGACATATTTAAACTGCTTTTATTGCCGATTTTTCTCCTTTCTTCACAGGTTTTTTTTTTTTGCTATAAATAGCGCCACGCGACTTTTAATACAGACGGGAGATAACTCTTAAATTTTGACCCAGATAAAATACATGCATGAAAATAATACGTTTGACACCCAAAAAGCAAAATAAAAAACAATGGGGCAGGCACTTTGAGAGGGGCGGGCGGGGATGAGAATCTAAAGATTAATTTTACCTGGCCTTATGTCATTCCGTTGAAAACAGAGATTTTTTTTAACTTGTTACAAAGATTTATAAAAAGAAACAAAAAACTTGTGTAAACTTGATGCAATATTTTTAATAAGATTACTGCATGACTCTGATTCCAATACCCCCCCCCCCCCCCATATTATACAATATCAAATTAGTTTATTATACAATATCAAGTTAGTTTGAACTACTTTTCACCAAATTCATTTAAAAAGTTAAAAGGCTAGCCAACTAGATTCATTTAATCCAACGCTGATTCCTTTGCCCAGTTCCCAGGAGATATAGATAACACCTGCTTGATCAGAGATGCTCTACCAGTTATAGTTCCTCACACTAAACTCAGGGTTCGACTCTAACTTTTTAAGGCTTTAGTCCAGTCGGACTAGTGCCTCATTACTTTTACTAGTCCGCACGCGATTTTATTAGTCCGTCAAAAAGAAACATAAATGTTTTTTAACATTAATTTAACGTGACAATTAATATACGTATTATTCTTTGAAATAAACAAAGTATTTACGTGAAATATTCATTGAAATCTCGCAATCAGCAAGTACGATCGTATTCCCGATCTTGTTTTTTTGTTTTGTTTTTTTTTTTTTTGTTTTGTTTTGTTTTGGTTTTTTTTTTTTTGTCTTTACATTACATCCAAAACGTCCAACATCTTTCTTAAAAGTGTCATACTAAATCATGATCGCTAAAACCTTATACTTCATATCGATCAGTCGAAAAATTAAGCGCTGAATTGACCCGGCATTGCGTAACTACCCGCCAAAAGCTAGAAATCTAAAAATACACGCGGGGTTTTCTGGTAAAAGTTGTCGAGAATCGGACATCGGTAATTTATTCATTTTTCAGAATTTTTTATTGGTCCGTTCGGACTAATTAGCCACATATTTTATTAGTCCGAATGAAAATGTATTAGTCTGAGACTAACGGACTAACGTTAGTGTCGAACCCTGTAAACTCATTAATTTCTCTCTAATTTGACATCTAATTTTCTGTTATCAAAATTCTCATTGACCAGTGCTTCATGATTACACCCCTGGGAGAGGTGGAATTTCTCTTTTAACATTACATTTGTTATAGATTGCTGTAAAGTACATAATGAAGAAAAATAAGTATTTTCTTGATTTAATATTTTTTTAATAAGGATACTGCAACATTCTTACATTTTTGGGAATTGTGTAGTTTAATAGTATAGAGACACAGTTTTTAAAAAAAAAATTCACTAAATTAAAGGTCACAGTGACCTTGAAATAGGTCGCGACACACCTTCTACCTAAGATGCATAAATTGGCCAAGTTTGATGATTCTAAGTCTAATAGTTTTCTAGTTATGAGCTGGACGGGTTTTTTCCATATTTGGCCATAGCACCTTAATTAAAGGTCAGAGCAACCTACTTTTAATGCGCGACACACCTTCTACCCAAGATGTATCAGCTGACAAAGTTTGATAATTCTAGGCCTAATAGTATTAAAGTTGTGAGCCGGACACAAAAAAGCTAACAGACGGACGGATGGACATGAAGGCTATAACATAATATTTCCCATCTTAAGACGGGCTTATAAAAAGACAATAAAGTTCAAACTATGTAACATATGTCCTTAAGAATTATATTCAAAGATTTTTATATCTGTCATGACATATGCATATGCATTGGCTAATCCCCCATATTGTTTACTTGATATAAACCTATACTTTAAAAATATATCAAGGTACCTGAACTATGCCTTCCTTGGACAGAACTAGGATTCTGTTGTGTCCTGTATCACTGACAACTATTTCCTGTCCTGTATCACTGACACACACCTTACCAGGAAACTTCAGAGGAGTGTTACTTCTCTTTTTTTTCTCCAACTCCAGGGGTATATCATGATTACTGAGCATGCCTTTCTCTTTATAGTACAGCACACACTGATGTATAAACTCCATAAGCCTGTCTCTCTGGCCTTCACCTACATAGAACTGGAGAATACATCCACTTGGACTAAGGACCACAATTGTTGGCCAGCACTGTATCATCAACTCACTCCAGAGGGTAGCATCATTATCATTCACAACAGGATGGTCAATATTGTAACGTAATATGGCACTAACAATGTTTGCTGAGACTTTTTCATTGTCAAATTTTGCAGAATGAACACCTACAACAACCACACCATCTTGGACTGTGTACTTCTCTTCTAAAGCAACCAAGTCAGGTAAAATATGAAGGCAATTGATGCAACAATATGTGAAGAAATCTAGGATAACTAATTTTCCTTTCAGTTGATCATTAAGCATCAAGGGATTGCTAACATTCATCCATTCTAAACCTACAATGGAAATGTACTCACTATTAAGTTTTCTCATATATTTAATTATGATGATAATATATTTATGTTCAATAAATAACATACAACAACTTATATATACTAAATGGCCATCACGGTATTTAATTTATGTCATACATTACGATGTTTGGAAGGATTAATGAACACTAGATGAGCATTAGATCCCCCAAGTTTGTTCGTTAAATGTTGTTTATTGTACATGCATGTGTACAGATCAGGATTTGACACTAAGGCACGTCCGACCGACTCAGTCTAGTAAATGAGTGGTCCAGTTGTGTAAAATGTATGTGAACTAGACCAATTGGTTGTATTGATAAAATAGCTGTTAAAACCCATTTCAGTGTTTCAAATAAATATTCAAAAACTTTTAAAGAATTTTTCTTAATTTGTCCAATTGTAAACACCCATCACTCTGTGAAAATTGTATGACACAATCGCTATTCTTAGAAACAGTTAAATTAGACAAGTCACGGTAGATCTGTATCAATATGGTGTAAAAAAATATATATTTTGCTATTAATTTATCACTACTTAGGACAAATAAAATAAGTTCATTGAATGATCTTTACAGCTTACAATATTTGCATGTCTTGATGAACCCGACTCAAATGGGTAGTAGGGTCAAGTTCTTGACATGCACAAGAATTGATTTCAAGATTACCTCATTAATATTAGCGATTATAAGAAATAAATTTGCAGGTTTGGTCAGGGTTAGTGATTTTACGGTCAGGGCTACTAAAAATTTTGGGAAGAAGCCTGACTGGTCTAGTACTCGAAAAAAGTTAATGTCAAACCCTGCAGATACTACATTTTGAAACATTATCTTTAAATTTTTGTTTTCCATGGCTCAATCCATTGGCAACATAGACAACAAGAGGTCCATGGGCCAGATCACTTGTCACTCACCTGAGCGCTTTGACCAGGGAAAAACAGAAATCGGTTTAGTATTGAAAAGTTTAAAATATACAAGTGGTTCCAAGGTGACACCATTTTAATTTTTTGTTCATCAGACTGGAGCACTCCTCTTCTAAAGAAATACAAAAAATGCTATCATTTTAAATTTCCTGCTTCCGGAAATTTTTCTTCCATTCCCAGCCCAAACTTTTTTTTTAAAACTCGATCATGATTGCACTTAAAAGGTAAATTTTGCATGTCAACAAAAAGTGAGACAACACTGATCAACTTGCAAAGGGACACTGCTTATACTGAGCTGATTTAAGGTATCTATTGTAAAATAATACAAGAAGCCCAAGGGCCTTAACGGTCACCTGAGTATAATGTACAATCCACAGATTAAAACAAAATAAGCTGATAAATAAAGCTATCATGCCCAAAAGCAAGAAAAATAGGAAAATAAGGGATCGGCAAAATAGTAATTCAGTACTATATAACAAATCATAAAGTTGATGTATTTATTTGCCTGTACTTTCCCCCATTTGTCACTATCCTCCTGCGGACTAAACAAAACAATACTTCTAGTGCAATATTAGTTAACACATTTCATTCCCTCTTGCATTGGCCTCTCTTAGTCTTTAAAGATTATTTATTGTACAAAGATATGGTATTTTTGTCCCATTTTCATTTATGTATTATTTAAAAGTTTACCTGACCATTAAAATATATGAAAGTACTTTGGTATTAAATATTATAAATTTTTTTGTATAATTCTTTTATTCAATTGACCTTTCAAGTTACATTATTTACAGTGATTAACTATTAAAGTTGAATAGCAAAGGGGAAAAACATCTTTCAGTAGAAATTAAAAAATAGACCAACGGATACGAAATTTCAAAAGCTAGTAAAAACAGCCCTGCTTATTACAACTTCATATACTCTATTTGCCTCCTAGATGCCCAGGAGCAGAGAAGAAGATTTTTAAGGAAATAATTTTCAATACAAATTCAATATAGCCTCACCCTAATACCAAAGCCCCTGACCCAGGGGCCAAGATATTCACACATTTGATTATTTTGTGCTTTTTTTTTACCATTCTAGTTTACTATTAATGTTTCTCCAAATTAGCGGAAAATGTCGCTAATTTTTCCCAATTCAAAAGGAGGGGATGGTAGTTCCAAAAACAAAAAAAAATCACTGCAGATCTTTGAAAGTCAAAACACACGACTGAGACAGAAGCCAGACACTCTTTGATCAGTAAAGCTAATTTGAGCCTTCAGCTCAGGTGAGCTAAGATTGAGTGACAGTGACAGTGACACTAGACAGTGTTGTAATTGACATCATTCATATTTCTGGAAATTTGGTTACACTAATTTGAACAGCATAGAAATACAAATTAAACAATAACCAAGAATATTTGAAACTTTCACCATGCAGGCTAAGTGAACAAAGAAACAAGAGGCCCAAGGGCCTTGAATCGCTCTTCAGATAAACTGTACAACCTATCACTTCTATTTGAAGCCTCTAAGTATCCTGTATAGTTAGATAAACCCTTAAAATTCCAAAGGTAGGTCATCATGACCTACATTTTGGATGAAACACTCTCGAAAACCCAAGATGATTCTAAGCCAATTAGTACTTGAGAGTTGGTCATGGTAACCTACTTGTCACTTGTCATTCTCTGAGGACCCAAGATGCATCAATTAAGTTTGATGATTATAAGCCAATTAATATCTAAAATATTTTTAAAATTATAGCCAAAAAATTTCAAAAGTAGGTCACGGTGACCTACTTTTCAGTCGACATACTCCAAAGACCTAAGATGCATCAGCTGACAGAGTTTGATGATTCTAAGCCAATTAGTTCCTAAAAATATTTAATTAAAGCCATAAATTTTCAAAAGTAGGTCACTGTGACCTACTTTTCAGTCGACTTACTCCGAAGACCCAAGACGCATCAACTGACAAAGTTTGATGGTTCTAAGCCAATTAGTACCCAAAATATTTGTTTGTTTGTTTGTTTGTTTGTTTGTATGTTGTTTAACGTCCCTCTCAAGAATTTTTCACTCATATGGAGATGCCACCACTTGCCGGTGGAGAGCTGCAAATTTTGTCCTATACTCAGCACTTAGGGCCATTGAGCAGTGAGGGGTCTTTTTCGTGCCAGCACCTACTGCAACACGGGACCTCGGTTTATACGGTCTCATCCGAAGGACCGGTCTCCACGTCCCACAGTGGGATTCGAACCTGCGACGTAAGGATCAACTCCTTACTCCGGGACTCTAGAGCAGACGCTCTAACCATTGCGCCATCCGGGCGACCCCAAAATATTTAATTATAGTCATATCAATTGAAAAGTAGGTCACGGTGACCTACTTTTCAGTCGACCTACTCAGAGGACCCAAGATGCATCAATTTACAAAGTTTGATGATTCTAAGCCAATTTGTACCTGAAATATTAAATTAAAGCCATAAATTTTCAATAGCAGGTCATGGTGACCTACTTTTCAGTTGTACTCCGAGGACTCAAGATGCATCAACTGACAAAGTTTGATGATTCTAAGTCAATTAGTACCTGAAATATTTAATTAAAACCATAAATTTTCAAAAGTAGGTCACGGTGACCTACTTTTTAGTCGACCTACTCTGAAAACCCAAGATGCACCAACTGATAAAGTTTGATGATTCTAAGCCAATTAGTGCCTGAAAAATATTTAATTAAAGCCATAAATTTTCAAAAGTAGGTCATGGTGACCTACTTTTCAGGTGACATTTTTTGAGGACCCAAGATGCATCAACTTACAATGTTTTATGATCATAGGCCTTAAAATGTCCAAATTATGCCTCTAAAGGGTTGTGAAATGGAATTTGATGATCATAGGCCTTAAATTGTTCAAAATATGCCTCTAAATCATTTTGAAAAAGAATAGCCGCAAAATTTAAAAAGTAGGTCACTGTGACCTACTTTTGAGTCAACATGATAAGAGGTCCTTAGATGCATCAACTGACAAGATTTGATGATCCTAGTCCTTATAGTAAGCAAAATATCAACATTTTAATAAAATGTAATTTTTGGTCAACTTTGAAGTGACCTTGAGACCACGCCCTTTCCTGATTCACTACTGGTGATTGTACTGGATCTGAAGACTGTATGAAACAGGACTGGCCCAATCTCTTGGTTTTCCTATATAGCTTGAATTAGCTATATACATGTACATGTAGCTTTATTAAGCAATTCCTGAACAGCTTGATTTAGCTATTGTATCACACTTTTTTCTTAAATGATATGTGTTATTTTATTCAGTATGTACAAAAAGTTGCACCTTGCTGCAGTGAAAGTGTTCAACTTTGAACTCTTCTGAATACAATGCATGTAAAAATGGCTTGAATTGCATCTCCTTGAGAGACTTTGTACTCAAAATACTAAATTAAAGTTTTGGAACTACATAAAGCAACTCATAAACACCCATGCTTCAATGCACGCAAGGTGTGTACAGTTATCCAAACAATGGAAAGCATCTTTTGCTTTAATAAAAGTATTCAAAAGCTGCAATGTCAGAACTATCTTTTAGGCCAACATTTTTTTATTAAATGATTTCCGGGAATTTTTTTTGAAGAATTGGGTCGGGGGGGGGGGGGGGGGGGGGGGGGGATAAAAATAAAAATAAAATTCCATATTTTACGCAATCGACTAAAAAAATAAAAATAAAATTGTAAAAAGTGCCTGATTTTTTTATTTTCAATTATTCGATAAAAACTGCCAAATATATGGTTTGGAGCTTAAAATATGATAACCGCAAAACAAAAATTAAAGTAGACTATAGGACCCTCATGAGAAATGGGGGAAATCCAAGGAATTTCTTATCAAAATATTCATCATGACCAAAACAAGATGACCAAAGAAAAAAAAGTTTATAATGAGAACCTCACTATGCTTAAAGTACTGAAAAAATTATGAACCAACAAGTCAAAAATGGAAAATAAATTGTTATAAAGAGAATCTCAATATAATATAAAACCCAGAATCATGTTGAAAACATGTATTTTACAATACAGCATATGTTTATGCACATTATCAAACTTCTAAAA